GGGAGACACAATTCAACCCATGACAAGCATTAACTTCTCCTTTTGACATGCTGAAGTAAAGATGTTTCTGCTCCCTTCTTCTCTCGAAAATTACCCTAATCAGAGGACAAAACAAAACAAACACAAACTCTATCTCAAACAGAAGCTGTTCACCCCCAGGTGCCTGCTCTTGCCCTGAAAATGCAGGTGCTAATTCCCTCAACCCCAACAGGAGATGAAAAATGCTGTGTTCTCTGGATCAACCAAACCAGGCACCCCAAGTACAGAAGGCAGCAGTGGTCAAACACCAGGCTGAGAACGAAACAATTCTATAAAATCCTGCACCTGACCAGTGAGCCTCTCAGCCCCCTTCTTTGAAACTTTCTTCTGTTCCCTGCATTGCTTCCTCCGAAAAGTATAAGGTGATATATTTTTTTAAAGCAACAGAGAAAAAAAGGAGCTCTTGAAAATTAAAAAAAAAAAATCTCCCTTGACCTCTCCAAGGAAACCTCAAATCAGTAACATATTCAGGAGATTAGCCAAGAAAATATTCCAGAAGGTAGAAAAAAAGTAGTCAAAGATAAATTAGAGGAGAAAAATGTTTAAAAGAAAAAAGTTAGAAGAGAAATGCAGGAGGCCTAGAAGTAGAATAATAGAAATTCCATAAAGAGGAAATCAAGGGGAAATAAATCAAAGAAATAACACAAGAAAATCATCTAGAACGAGAGATGAATTTCCAAACTGAAAATGAATAAAAAAGATTCTCACGCTGAGTCACATCATTGCAGAATACCAGAAAAAGAAAAGATGTTAAAATATTTCTAGAGAAAGCAGGGAAAAGCCCTCATCTAAGGCCTAAAATCCACACGGCCTTGGATTTCTCAGGAACAAATACTCAAAGTTAGAAGAGCAATGCCTTCAGAATTTGGAGGGAAAATTATTTCCAATATGAAGTCATCATCAGTAAAAATGCAAGTATGAGGGCTAAGTAAAGATAGTTTCAGATGTGGAAGGAGCCAAACATGTTCACCTCTCATGCATCTTCTCTTGAAAAGCTACTAATAACATGCTCTACCAAAACAAAGAAATAAAGCAAGAAAATAGAAGAAATGAGACCCAGAAATCAGGAAACCCAACATAGGAAAGCAATAAAAGCAATTCCCAACATGACTTTAAAACAGTGATTCTAAACCTTGACTGCACATTAGAATCACCTGGGGAACTTTAACCCCTCCCCCCAAGCCCAGGCCACAACACAGCAAGATTTCTGGGGGTGCAAACCAGGCATCAGTGATTTTTAAATTTCCCCCGTTGAATCCAACCTGCAGAGGATGTTGAGATCCATTGTGTTGAAGGAAGCCCCAGAATAACAGCTGTTAAGGGTTCAGCAGGCCTAAAGAATATCCACTGCAGGTTAAAGCAGGAGGTAAGAGAAATTGGGGGGGGGGGGGTGGAGGGGATAACTATCTGACAGGCACAAAAAGGAAAATTGTGTGGAAATTTGCATCAAGAGGCATTTTGTAGAATAGTCACAAAAGCTGAAGGAAGACAAACAAATGTTCAAAGGAAACGAAGAAAATGCAAAAATACGTCCAAAACTTGTAAAAGAAAACGTACCGGAGTATGCTAACTGGCTTGGCAGTAAGAAAATATGTAGTCATAATAAGGAAAGCTTGAAATACTGAATAATGCTATTAGGAGAATGAGGGCAAGAAAGGGGTTAATAAGGTCTAAAATTGATTAATTGAGAGATAGCAAAACATGTTAATACAATAGAAATTCAGAGCTAACAACAGAAACAACTAGAGGAGTGTGGTGGTCTGAATAACGGCCCCTCCCAAAGATGTCCCCATCCTAATCCCTGGAACCGCTGAATGTTTCTTTATATAGCAAAGGGACTCTGCAGAAACCAGGGATCCCGAGATGGGGAGTAGCCTGGCTTGTCCAGGTGGGCCCTTCGTGATCACAAGGGTCTTCATAACAGGAAGGCGGAAGGTCAGCGAGGGCAGAGGGTGGTGCGAGGCAGTAGCAGAGGTTGGCACGACGCAGCCACGCGCCAAGGAGCCGACGAAAGCCAGCGGCCAAGAGAAGCCCGAGCGGCAAGAAGCAGATGCCCCCCGAGCCCTCAGAAGGAACCAGCCCTGCTGACACCCCAATTTGAGCATCTTAAGATTCATTTCTGATTTCTAACCTCCAGAAATGCAAGAGAATAAATTTGTGCTGTATTAAGCCACTAAATTTGTGGGAATTTGTTACAGCAGCAATGGAAACTACAAGAAGTTTAAACCATTGGGGTGGAAGTGGGATTCAAGGGGCACATATACAATCGTTATTTGACTTTTTTAAAGAATGAGCATGTGATGCCTGGATAAAAATTAAAATAGCCAAACTGCACTGAGTGCTCACAGTAGTGGGAGAGGATATTGCGAGAGCTATAGAGCTGTGCCCTCAAGCCACCCACGGATTGTGTTACATGCAGGCTCTGACGCAGGAGCGCAGCGGGGCCTGAGGTCGGTCTGCATTCCTGTAAGCTCCCAAGTCACGTCCATGGACTGCACTCGCAGTAGCAAAGGTTCAGACTGAGGCCAGTTCTCCAGATCCTAGAGGCCCGGAGAGAGGCAGATCCAAAGGGAGACAGAATCTGGAGGTGGGGCTGGGGGGAGAGACAGAGAAACAGACAGGATCTAGGGGAAGAGAGAGGCAGAGAGCAAAATGGGCTTTGTGCTTAAGCTAAGGCATTTTAACTTCATGCTTGACCTTGAAGATAGGGAACCACTGAATGATTTTGGGCAGTGAAACACCAGGATGAGAATTTTTTTTAAGTTGTTATTCTTTGTAGAAGAAGCGGGGGCAGCAAACCAGAGACTAGAAACCCTTTAGCATACAACTGCAAATATTCAATGATAATGGCTGAGGAAGGGATGATGATGCTGGTACTTCTGCCTACACACACGGGCACACACACGAACACACACACACACACACAAGTACAGAGAACTACATCAATCCATGTGTACAAGCGAACCCTGTGAGTACCTTCTATCTGAAGTCCTAATACAAAAAGAATTTTCTTGTAACACCTAAAGGCATTTTCTATAGTTTTTCATAGACATAATTTTATCATTTATTAAATCCCCATCTGCCAATGGCAGATCTGCATTTCAATAAGAAAAGTGTAAGAAAAATCTTCTCAGGGAAATGGCATTAGGTAGTAAAATTAAAATTGAAAAAAAAAAAAATCCCAAAGTTAAATTCTTCCAACTCATCACAACCCATATAGATGGGAATCACAGTGTCCACACTGTATACATTGATTATTGCCAAAGTAAACTGCAACTGTCCTCTTTTAACAGAGAAGAAATGTTCTTCATAGAAGTGCAATGTACATATTTGCTTTGCCTACAGCACTGGAAATGGTTCTGCGAAGCATTCTCAGAAGAATTCTATGCATATGGATTAGACAGAATGAGAAAAGTATAATATGGGTAAAAAGTCCGTTAAATATATTGAACACCAACAACTTATTAATAGTTTGGTGTCCAAATGAGAGCAGCTATTGCATGCAGTTCATAAGGAACCAGCCAGCCTCCAATCCTACTCCATATTTTCTATTAATAGCCCTGAGGATCATGTGACTAATGCACTAATCAATCCACAGAAAATGCAGCTCTGGGAGACATTGCTAATGCTTTGGACAACAATATTAAAATTCAGGATGATCTTGTTAAATTGAAGAAACGAGCCAAAAATCAATAGAGCAGGCATGCACAGTACTGCCAGGTGTTTCAAATCACAGGATTCAGGGAGCCCTCAAACAGAAAACAAGACCATCCCAGTAGACAAAAATCCAGTTGCTAAAGCTATCCAATTCCTGTTCTCCCTCCCCTCCCTCCCAGCCATGAGGATACCCAGACCGATGACAGGGCTGTCATCTGCATAGGACTTCACTTCACTACCTACAGCTTCTCAACTCTTTCCCCAGAGCCCTGCAAAAGGGAAGAGAGATGACGGATTTCAGTTAATATAAACTTGCAGAGCCCACGCTGACAAATTTAGACTTTGGTACACCAAAAGAAGTAGTAGCAAGAAAAAAACAAAAAAACAACAAGGAACACCTAAAGGTTTGCAGAGTACAGTGACCTTTTCCCAAGAAGTGTCATCATGCCTTCTTGACATTTTGATACATGGTCCTTAACCAGAACAGGATGGGGGAACATAAAGATCAAGTTTCTCTAACAACTTATTTATCCGCCCACATCCTGGAAAAGCTAAGACTTTTAAAAACATAAACCCATCTTTTCTTTCAACTACAACCCTTTCCCAGGGTCGTCTTTAATGATATCTACTTTCTGGGCCCCAATTAGCCAATCAATCATGAAGCCCTGTGGCTTCCACATTCTAAGCAGTTTTCTGACCTGCACTTGCATCTCCGTTCTCTCCCCTGCTGTCCTGGTCGAAGTCTTCATCACTCCTCGTGCAGCCTAACACAGAAGCCCTAGCGGCCTCTCTGCCTCCCTATGCTTGAGCTCCATCCTTCACAATGTCACCGGTGTGATCCAGTGAAAGTATAAATCTAACCTTGAACCTTCCCTGTTTAAAAATTTCCAGTGCCTTCAGTACTCACAGAATGAGTTCCAAGTTCTCCACTGTGGTACACAAACTTCCTCAGTGGTTTTCTGCCAGGAGCACCACCAGCTTCCTGTGTGGGGCATTTCTGGATGTCTCAATGGCTGAGTGGTGTTACTAGCATTTTGTGCCCAGGGGCCAGGACATTAAGCATCCTACAGTACCCAAGGCAACCTGCACGATGAGCTGTCGTACCCGAACTGCCAGTGGTGCCGCTGTTGAGAAAGAGTCCTCATGGCTCCTGCTTACTTCTCCGGCCTTCTAGTTCCCTCTTCTACACTGCAGCTACCTGACTCTGGTTCCCCAACACAAGCCATGCTTCTTGCCTTTATACCTTAATTCTTGCTTCTGTGTCTTGATGAATTCTGATACCTGGAATGACTCTCTTCACTTTACTGACTCATCTTTTAAGTTTCAGCTCTGGTGTCATCTCTACCAGGAAGCATCTACACACACACACACACACACACACACACACACACACACAAACACACTGACTTAGAGGCTTCTTCCTGGCAAGGCAATGGTGCCTTGTAATTGTGATGTGCTCTACACTCACCAGTGTGCCTTGTCTCTATTAGTACTGTACTTCCCTCTGCTATAGTCCTTCAGGGCAGAAACTGTATGCAGTCAGCAGGCCTTATACAGACCTAAGAATTTGAGGACGGGTGGAGAGATGACTGAGCAAGATCAAGGGCTTTTCTGAGGCTGACATTTTAGCCCAGATGCCCATAATGTAGGTAACAAACACAAGCAGTAGTTTCCAGATCAGGCAATAGTTGAGGTCAAAGTTCGAGATCAGGTCATTTTAGTTTAGTTCTAGCATTTTATGCTGGATAAGTCACTCTTCACCCTTAATCTTCAGTCACTAAACACCCCTTTAAAAGGTGCCAGACAGCACCCTGCATGACATGCCACTTACCCATGTGGAGGATCGTGAGTCAGGAAGAGCAGTCGGACAGGTACTTTTGTTTGGCAACTTCATGTTCAGTCTGCTCAAGAACTCAGCATTTGTGCTATCAGGAACATAAATAGGTGTTAGTGCCTTCATAAAAATAGAAATATCATTGTTGTGCCTTTGGATACTGGCCCAGACTTTGAGTGATGACTAGAAGCATCCTAGATAGAACAAAAGGTTAGGTTGGGAACAAGGTGTAGTAGAAAATCAAAACAAAATGCTATTGCGATACTGCATTCTTGAAGAACATTATTCCAAAAAATACAAAACTAGGTTTGTGAAAATGTGAATCTATGATTTCATTTTTTCCATTTTGTAATATCAACATGAAAATAAATGTTCTCTCAGATTCCACAGTATGGGGCCTTAATTTCCTATCTAAACATTTAAAGCTTGACACTCAGACTTCAGGATAGAGGTGTGGAACATTAATGCCTGCAACACCTCATTTCACACCAGGTTTACACTAAGCCCCTCACTCCCTGAGGTCTTTCTCCTAGTCACCTCATCTCCCTCATGGCTCCAACTACTTTCAGGATACACAGGCCTTCTAATCCAGAAACTCTTTCCCATTTATGGATCATGGACTCCTTTGGGATTCTGAAAGCAGAAATGAACTTTTTCTCTGCAGACAGATACACACACACACACACACACACACACACACACACACACACACACACCCCTTTGCATTTGATTTAAGGGAGGCAATAACCTCCTTCCATGGAGGTTAAAAAGTATTGCTGATTCTGGGCTGCATTTCTGACATTTCTTTCTTTCTTTTTTTTTTTTTTTTTAACAGGAATCTGAATTTCTAGAGCACTGACATTTCTTTTTAGCTCCGAAAGACTGACCTAGAAATGTCCTCAGTTTAAATAAGTACTTTGTTTTCCCTTAAAAATCCAAACCGCTACCCCAATTTCTCTTCTCACTTCTGTGAAGCATTGAACACCGGAATTGTTTCTTAGTCATCACCTCAAAGACTGCCCCATCATGCCTACCCTTGATTAATTTCTATTCCTTGGTCCTTTTCTCATATAATTTGTAGGACTTTTGCCTCCTTATTCCACATTCACAACCAAATACCTCACTGAGGGCTGATTTATATTGCGCCAGACTTGCACAGCCTGCTCCCATCTGCCTCCCTCCCTCTGCCTCCATCTAATATTTTAAGCCTAATGCTAAGATCTGACTCATCAGGTACTTAGGACATGGGCAAAGGAAACACACAGGGTCTGGTAAGAACAAATGGCATCCGCTGGGGAAAATAATCAAAACAAGGACTGAGAAATTAAACAGAGATGCCAACATCACTACAAACAATTACTTAGGCAGGACATGGCATTTGAACAGGGTCAGAAGCTTGAGCAGGGAAAGGCAGAGCTAAAAGTGAAGCAAGGTACGTAACCCTGAGAAACGCAAGACTTCAGCAGTTGAGACGAGCAGCCTTTCCATTTGTCTTGGATTATTTATCTTGCCCAGAATAGACAAGGAGACTAATGAAGTCACAGAGTCTGGAAGCTGCCCCACTGTCTGGGGCTTTATGAAGTCATCAGTCAAAAGTATAAAAAGAAGACAGAGTTGCCAGAAGTTTGGAGGAGATTTCTGAATATCCTTAGCAGAGTGCAGACCACGGGAGAAAGTAGTGAAAAAGAAACACCGTGATAAGCAAGGAAGGAACTTCAGACCAAGTTGACGGCAGCCCCTGGGTGTGTGCTGACTACTGCTCCTCACCTGCCAATGCCATGCACAAAGCTAGTTGGACACCAGCCTCCAGCTCTGACCGTTGTGCCAATTATCACTGCCCTACTTATGCCTCGAAATTAAAGCAGGGTGATAGGGTCACAGGACTGCCAGAAGAATACAAGTAAGAACTTGCAGGGAAGGTGGATTATTGCCAAGTCATCAACTATACAAACAAAGGAAGTCCCAAGTTACTGTGCTAACCGGTATTTTTCTACTATTAGCATCAGTGCCTGGTATATAAAGGAATTTCCATATACTGGCTGAACTGAATTGGGGTCCCTGTAGGTGACTGTGGTTATATTTAATAAAAATAAGATATAGAATCTCTCTGAGGGGTAAACAAAGGAAAATGTCCTTGCGGGGTGTCCAACTAGACTAAGAACCCTGGACTCTTGCACTACAAGTCACCTTTTCCTTTAGGTTCCTCACTATGATGCCGGTGCCTATCCAAGAAGATGGGCCTCTTGCACCGTATCGCTCTGACCCAAGCATAAAGGATTCCTTCCTTTATTCTCCACGGAACAGCTGGTTAGACTGTTTTGGAAGATAAAGTTTACTCATGTCCAACTCAGGGTCTTTAAGCATCCTTCCTGCTTTTTCTTTGGGCGATTCCTATGGCTTATCCTTAAAGGGCTTTTCAGGATCATCTCACCTCAACAGAGTACAGTTGTAGCAGAGACTGCTTTTGGCAGTCTCCTCTACTTCTGGTCACACACCTGACTACATTCCCAGCCTCCCTTGCAGCTAAGCTTGGCTGTAGGATTGAGTCTTGACCAGTGCAATGTGAGAGGAAGGCATGCACACCAATTCCAAGACCAACTGATTATAAATTCCCAGGCATGTGTCTCCATACATTTTTCTCCTTCTGGCTGGCTGGAATAGAGATATCCCCCACCCCCACCACGGAAGCCCTGGAAGTTATGTATTGAAGGTGGTAGAGCCTCTGTCAGTTTCAGTACCTAAATACCTGAGCAGAGGAGGCCATCTTTCAAAACTGTTCACTGATGTCTTAAATGAATAAGAAAAGAAAACATAGTGCTGAAGCTATTATATATTTTGGGGCCTGTTTATCACAGCCGTTAGCCTACCCTAATAATATAAAGTAATATATACAAGAGAATCGTTTCTCAATTTAGGTTATCAATTCCAAAAGTACATATGAGGCCAAGAAGAGTTGAAGAAGAATTTAAAAAAAGAGAATTCTCAAGGATCTAGTTTGGCTTTTTAGCCATTTCAGAGCTTTAGGATGGGAATAGGAAGGCAGGAAAGGGTCAAAGCCTATTCATCCTTGAAATGCCTTCTCGTCAGGGCTAGAAGCTACCTAGACCCAGAGTACAAAAATTAGTACTAATTTATCCTAATACCATTAATTTCTTTTCTAGTTTGAGGATGTGTGGGGGGTTGAGAGGAGAAACTTTGTTTTGAGAAAATTAGGGAAGAACAGGAATGTGGCTTGTTATATCGAGATGTGATGGAATATTTACAATCTGTTGATGGAGATTCATCAGTAACAAAGTTTGGCCTTTGTGAAAGGATCAAAAACATAGGAAAGGCCACATAGAGTGAAGTGTGTGTGTTGGCTCATTCCAATAGCCCGGAATTGCAAAAGACAATTCCTGTAAGGTTTTCTGTTTGTTTCAATAGTTAGAAAAGAAAGCTAGGACTTTTAATGTTCAAGAAAAAAGACAGGGAAAAAGAAACTTAGCGTGGACAGGCAGGAGCTTGTGCACCAGGAGCCTGCCACTCATCGCACAGCAGAACTACAAGGTGCTGAGCACTTTTCTCAACCCGGTTACCCACATCTGCCAACTTTGAACCATGCTAAGACACGTAAACGAACATACTACTAAAAATGTTAAACTTACCAATTTTTAACCTAAACACTCATGATTAGGAAGGTACCCTTGATGGGAAATAACAGTTACAAACCTCTCCTGTGGTTCTTTTTGGCCTTGCTGGGAATGGATGGGGCAGTTTTACCTTCTCTCCCCTCCTTCTGGCTAACATACAAACTCAATTGACTGCAGCATCCAGACAAACATCCAGTCATAAATGACAGCTTCTACTAGGGTCAGTGATGGAGAGACAAGAAAAAAATAGCAGGGATTTTGACAATCTAAAGAGTGATCTTCCACATAAAGGGGTCGGCTGCTACCTGACTCCAGACTGTCACTGCCCCTGGGAACCGAGGCCAGCATTGCCAGGTGTCCTAGTTTTTATAGAGATAACCAAAATGCTAAAAATTACGTTTTTAATGTGAAATAACTTGGCAATTAATTTTAAAATTTTTGAAACACTGTGGAACAACAATGTGCTGGTCAAAAAAAAAATATATATATATATATACACACACATATACACACATATACAGGTCAGATGTAGCCTAAGGTCTACCTGATTGTGATCAGATGACTTTGTTTCTGCCTGTTCAGTCTTGTACTGTTGACTGTGTGTCCTTTATGTTTATTTTACAAAAGAAATAATAAGCAAGGTTGGATTCAAGTATTGAAAAAGGGATTGAGAAATAGCTGCTATGCTGGTTTATGCACATCAGCTAACAGTAAGAGAGAGAGAAGGTATATCATAAATATTTCTTATTCATACCAAACACTAAAGTGTATTATTTCACTTACAGTTCATAACTCTATATATTTGTATTAATACATGAAAAGAAATGGTGAAACACTATACATAAGATGAAAAGACAACCCAGAGTATTTGTAACTAAAGAAAAAATAATAAAAGGATTAGTGTGCAAAATATATAAAGAATGCTAACAAATCCAATTAGAAAAAGACAAACAGCCCACTAGAAAAGTGGGCAAAAGGTAGAAACATGAGCTTCACAGAAGAAACCCAATTACTAACAATAATAAAAAGAGCAACAACAACTTAAGACTTATGTAGTGCTTATTAAGTGTCAGGCTCTGTTGTAAACACTTTACATACATTAACTTCATGAAAACCTTGTGAGGGTTCCATTATAATCTCTAATTTATAGAAGTAACTCGCTCAAGGTCCTCCAGCTAATAAGTGTCAAAACCAGAACTCAGACTTGGCAGCTGGCTACAGGGGCTGTGCTATTACCACGGCACGTGGCAGCTTCTCATGAGTAAATCCATGTGAAAAGTTGGTACATCTCAATAATAACTGGGGACGTGAAAATTAAAACAAGATACCATGTTATACCCATCAGACTGGCAGAAAGAAGCAGGAGAGGGAAGGGGAGGAGTATGGGAAGGGAAGGGAAGGGAAAAGGGAATGGATGGGAAGGGGGAACAGAATGGAAGGGAAGGGAAAGAGAAAAGAGAAG